TCGATGCGGTTAAAGGCATATAATATATATACGAGTATAATTTGGTTAGGGGGAGAAAGAAAAAAAAAAAGTTGGTCTGGAAAAGTTCCGCGTGGCTTTAATTGCGCGGAAAACAACGGCAGCGTCGATACACCCAGCAACACCGTAATTTCACAGGTGAGCGTCTGTTACTGTAATTTTCGCGGAAACTTAAGTAATGCACTTACCAACGTCGAAAAAGTTTGCTCATCGCTCCCTCGATGCGAACACGTACGCGATACATGCGCGTAAAATATATGTAGCAAATCGTGTAATCGACGACGGCTGATGGTGTGTAATGCACTTGTCGGACTGGGTATATTGTGTGTAGACTTGGGTACAATCATTTTATGAATTTTATAACACCTTTTTTTTTGCAAACAAACGCAATGATCACATGAATATTATTTAATTATTTTTTTGTGTTTTTTTTTTTTCCTTCAAACTAGAGGTAATGCATTATATTATTGATGGGGAAAAAAATTTTGTCAAGCATCGTCAAAAGGCACACTTTAAAAAGAAAATTGAAATAATATCCGAGCCCTTTAATTTAATTGTAAAAACAGTTGGACTCGGTTTCTATTTAATTTTTTTACTGCTGTATTAATTATTTTACAAGTAGATAAGTTCGATGATTATCAAAGTTGAAATGAAAAATTTTATAGTTAGTAATATAACTAAACACCCAAAGTATTCAATACAGGTATTAATATTCACGGAAAAATGACACTCGTCAACAAAAACCACTCCTTGCAAATTAAAAATGCTAAAACTTCATGAGTATGTTAGTTGGAAAATTTTCGTCCTACAGCGTAAAGGGGTCCAATTTTCATTCGTACAATTTGCACGAAATAACCAGTTCAAAGGCAACGTAAGTTGGTCACGTTCAAAAGAAACCCTTATAAATATAAAATAAAAATACAAAATTGAACAATGCGCCGCAGCGTACAATTACCACCATTAAATTAATCACGCGTGCGCTACATATTGGTAATGACGGAAGTGAGCGAGAAAAGGAGAGATAACACCTTGAAACCATCGCCAAAGCAGCTACATCACGTACATATATTTATACATATAGCGGCACGAGCGCGACCTTCATCGCTGCACTGATGCCGAGAAACCATTACCAATATAATGCGCGCACTGTGCGTACATATACTTACATATACGCGCCCATCGATTTCCATAGGAGGAAAAAAAATTTTTTTTTTTTTTAATTCTGATGACCTTGTCGCAAAAACTCCTGATCGGATGATCTTTACGATCTTTAGGTGATGTGTGCAGAAGAATGCTCTCTTCCTCCTCTTCACGTTTTGGGGCATCCGCGCGAAGCTAAATTATGTGCCCCTTTTTCGTGCCCAATATTATTTTTATTAATGATTTTTTCGTCCCGGGTCCCACTTTCGTTCTTTTTTTTTGCTCGTCGACGTATTTTTCGCGTGAGAACAAACTGCTGCCGAACATCATATACACATACCTACTTTTGTTGTTGCACTAAGCTGCTGTCTCGTGTTCACCATGTCACAATAATCGTGCCCCAATGTTGTGTGTATAAATATGTATCTGCGCTGCTGCGAATTAATTTTCTTCCAGCATTGCAATACACACACACGCAAAAGGAGAAGGATCCATACGTAACTTCGACACGTCGATACCCGGTTACAATCGCACACGCGCATCGTAGCTAATTAATATCAACTTTTCGCGTACATGTGCCATCATCATCGTCGTCATTTGTATTATAAACGCGACAACAACAGAGATACGTCGATCCCCAGACCTGCGCGAGATTTATCGGCTCGGCTTTTGAATGCGTAATCGAGTGTACTCGTCACTGTCACCTCTGCGGCACATGGATGCACACCAATGCAGGTAACGTGAATTGAAAATCAAAAGAATATGCAGGCGTTACCAAATAGATACTCCAAACCCCCTCCTCCAGATCACCGAACTTTATCATGGATCATTTGCGCCGCACACCGTAAAAAAGGAAGGCTGTGGATAAACGATTCAGCGTCGTGTACTCTCTTATATACAAAGCTTGACCGTAGCTTAGACCAAATCATTGCTGTTTTACCTGATGGAATAGTCACACATTACATCCCGGTCAGACGTGTACAACATCCCAGGCATAACAGACAAGTACACACATGAGGGGCACAACCGTACACACTTGGGTATACGGGTAACCCCCAAATTTCCGATCGATCGATCCCGTAAACACAAGTGTACGTGTCTCTCCCTCCTCCCTCGAGACAGTCCACGTGTGCGGCTGCAGGACACAAGTAATAATAGTACACCATGTTACACGTATACGTATAGGACCCGCGAAACGGTGCAATTTCCACTCACGGTGCACGGCCGATCGTATACGTACATACACGTGTGCACCGTTGTCGTGCCGAAAAGAGAGCCATACGCGCTGCAGGTATATAATATATACTCAACATGTAATTATCGCAGTTTGCCGGCGTTGTTTCTTTGAAAAAAAGTCCGTCTTTTTCGGTGCCGACCTTATTGCCAAGCAAAAAGCCCTTGGAGCACCGCACATCTGAATATGCATGCGCTGAACAATGGGCCTGGATGCGGCCCCACGCGGTCCGTAACTCTATATAAGTGCACGTGCATTTGCCGCATATATGCACGCGCTTACATGTATAATTAGGCTGTCTCATTTGTCCATGGGTACGTATTAGGTGGAGGGATCGATCGCAAAAAGTGTATGTTGTTTACGATTCTTCGACGACATAATTTCCTCCCCGAAAAATCATCGGGAGCGCGAGGGTAGTTTTCCTTCCTCCAATCTTGCACACCCTGATAATTTCAAAACGCGGTATAAAGGCACATTGCGTTATCACTAGAGGTGGTAGGAGGAATAAAAATAAAAAAAAAAAAAAGAGTGGAGGAGGCCACCCAACGTTACAGATACGCTCTCGAGTGCGATTCCGCCATCACGCACCAGCGACGCTCTCTTCTCCCGCTTATACCTGTACGCAATATAACAAACACATTCGAACAGGAAAACGCGGTGTTCTCTCTTTGACTTTGCGTATACACTTAAAACATACACACACACACACACACACACGGAAAGAGAAACGCACCTGGGGTGTCCCCGGGAAATAGAGAGGATGGCCAAAAGGGGGGAATCCATCCATCCTCCCCCCGTGTGTATATATACACTCAGGCTAGCTATACATCCAGCGCCCTTTCGCATATTTCCCGATAAGATCGAAAGCGAGCGCGCAGGTGCCCCTCTTCACCCTCCCCTTCAACACCGCGCTCTCACCTTGACACACATTTTATTCGTACGTGCATATACCCACGTATAAGCACGCATTCCCTCCCATAGTGAAACTTTTTTTTTTTTTTTTTTGTTCCGTTCCGTTTTTTTTTTTTTTTTCCGGCCTCCCCTTCCTCTCTCACCTCGAGGAACAATTAGCTCCCCGGGTGCAAAAGATAACGCGTCCGCTGAATAATCATCGGGCTCCATGCAAATGAGGGCCCGCGATGCGTGCACTTACACATATAACTACACACACACGCGTGCGGATATATAATAGGATTGCAAAAGAGCCCCATCCCCGCGTATGTAGATATAATGTATTAGCTCCTAAACGGAAGTGATTTATGGCCAGGTGGTATACATATATACCTGGGGATCTATGTGCAAATTGTACGCGTTCCTGATGACTCTTGGAGCGCGAACCGCGTTTTCTGTGATTAGTGTATACAAAATAGTGGTTCAACAAAAAAAGGAAGGGGTCGCCTTTCGTGTGTATTTTCATACAATACGTGTGGATGCAATTATCAGCGCTTTTGTTTCTCATATATCTTTTTTTTTTTTTTTTTTTTTTTTTTTTTTTTTTTTTTTTTTTTTTTTTTTTTTTTTTTTTTTTT